GAGTTGCTGAAATGAAATTTTCAGCAAAATGGACTAGCCTGCTGCATAATTTTTTTCACTTTCATTTTTGGGGTGTCTTTGAAGTCAGTCCTCTGTAGGTTGATAATTTTCATTTCCATCAAACAATGGGGCATCCTTACATTCCTAACACATTACCCCGTCCATATCAGTATAGATATCCAGCTTGATATTTTTTGCAGTGCATGCTTGCACATTATGGTAAGTGCTCTTGTCTGGCCTCCAGGTTCCTCTTGAACTTGCCTGAGCTCAGGGCTAACCCAAACCCTCCATCTGTGTTCCTATCCATTGAAAGTATCTTTACTGACCACTGAGACACTCTTACTTGACAGGGTAACATTAGGTGTGTGGAGTTTGTCCTCAAAGTTAGTAAAATTTAGATTATAGGGAGGAATAAAAATGGCAAGCTAAATTTCATATTCTGACTTTGGGGTGCCTGCACTAGCTGCTGGTGAGTGAGAATGGACAGATGAAGCCATCTCTTCTGTATTAGGCGTTTACCAGCACTAAGTGACTGCGAAAGGCTTTTACACAGCCTCCAAGTTGGTACATGGGTCATTGTGTTGCAGGAGGCAGAGTCGGGAATTCTGTCACTCTTGCTAGGGTTCATTTGGGAGAAAATCACCAATCCTACTTATGTCCTTGGATTGTATGAGGAAACTGATGCAAACATGGGGAGAATGTAGACCCTCCATGTATATAGTAAATATCCTAGGGGAGATTCTAACCAAGGATCCAGAACTGCAAGTCAAAATCGTGTCCCCTTAGCCACAATATATGTACTTAAACTAGTTGTATTTAAAGCAAAACTAAACTCATTAAATCCTAGAAGGTAAAGTCTTTTTGAAAAGTAAAAAAAAAAAACTCTTCTGTCTTTTTTTTTTTTTTTTTTTTTTTTTTTTTTTTTTTCTGTCAATGTTTTATATTGTTAATGCTGCACAGTGCATGTGCAGTGTATACTGTTGGCACATTCAAAACATCTGTAAGATTCCGAGTATGTAGCTAGGTGCCACGGATGATGTAACTCCTGTGCAAATACATAGGAATTACACAATCAGTGGCCAAAAAAGAGTGATTCTGGATGTGGAAGACCCGGTAGTGGAAATGATAGAGGATGGGCACGGTGTGGCAGCTGCAAACCTGGACCTGCCAGTAATGGAGAAAAGCATTCTTGTAGGTAAGCGTGCCAAAATGTGCAAGAGTTTGCACATTATGGAAAGAGCTTCACCCAATGCAGCGGATCTAAGTTCTTGTTCTTAAAAATACATTTAGTGATATATTTATTTTCTATTTCCACCATTTCAGTCTACTATATCAGTTTTTAGTAGTGTGTTTAACAGCATGTTTTTTGTTTTTGTTTTTTTTTCCCCCACTTGAGACTGTTGGATCTCTGTGCTGATTTTCTAGATCTGCGATGATTTTCTAGACCTGTTCACCTGCTGTGCCCATTATAAGGGGCTCCCACTGCTGTTTTTCTTTTTTTCTTAATTTATTGAGAATGTAAGAGAAGGAGCTGAAATACACAGTGAGTAGGAACAAACAAAAACTCCAAGACTGGACAGGGACAAAATCCAGAAATAGGGCAGACAGATCTTTCCATACCCAGGATAATGACTCGGCCAACATTCTCCACTTATAACCAAAATATCAGTTTTGCATGATTATGGGACACAACTGCATTATGCGGTTAACGAAAACTTCTTTGTTTCCCTGGTGCATGCTTTAGTAGACCGGCAGTGTAATTACTCAGTGATTCTAATCCCAGGAGGACAAGTGTGTCCCAGCATAGGAAAGATCTCTAGCCTTTTCTGTATGGCCTTTAGGCAAGTGATGAAACAATGAGATGAAGGATGCAGAGCATTAATAGAATGTCCGTTTCTGCAGGCAGGAATTCCTGTCTGGATATGTGCTGCAAGGCTTAAACGGTTCAAGTGCACTTACCATTAATGAGAACAGGAGATGTTGTGTTCTTTGAAGAGAAAGTAAATAATCTCTAATAAGAATAAAAATAATAGGAATAAAAATACTGTGTATAAACCTCAAAGAAGAGAAAGACAGACTGATGTGAAATTTGCTATCTGGACTCTAAACGCAAGCATTATTGATTTCCTGTGAGTACAATATAGTGGTTTGTTTTCTCCACCAATTGTAATATAATAAAGCAATTCTAGGAAAATGTGTCTGCCATTGCCAAAATGATTCTGAAAATTCTAGTTGTCTGCCATGCCAGTCCAACGTCTCCAATACTTTATAAGTTACCGAGGGGCCATTCACACTAAAGCAATGTGTTAATGTGTATTGTGTTTGGGCGGCATGTTCAGAATGGATGGGCTGCTAATGCACCACAACGGATGAAAAACATTTTTTAGAAATCTGGGGTTTGTATATCTCCTGTGTCCGTAGAATTCAGACTGGGACTCATTTGATCAAACACGAAAAAGAGAAGTCCTCTGTTCTTAGTTTTGCATGGCAATACATCTAGTGAAGTGGCAAATGCTTTGATATTATTCGCATTGATAAATGAGTGGAAAACCAAACCATCTAAGAACAGTCTGGTAGAACAGTAACCGTTTAGAAAAGGATTACTTTGTATAGCTCCTGGCGCTTCATCCACGCATACCATATGCATTATCTATCCTAAAATAAACCATTTTGAAGAGGAAAGTTTGTTTTAAAATGAATTCAGCTTTATTTAAATAGATGGCATTTTCCTTTCTGACGTGGGAAGATATGTTCCCGGATAATGGCCATCAAAAGCATAGTGCATGCACTGCAACCGGTTAAAGGAAAAGTACAGGCAAAGCTTGTTAGACTGTACTTCTCTTGTGGATCACAGGAGTGCAGTTCGTTCTGCACTCCTGTGACCTATTTTCAGCTGACCGGCTAAAGTGCGCTGTTGACTGAGGTCACTCAGCTGGTCCAGGCTGGGGAAAGATCCTGATTTTAACCACTTGCCTACTGTGACAGCATGAGAAAATGACTGCCGATAACCAGCAAGTGAATTTACATGGTGATCAGCTGTGATTGAACACAGCTAATCACATGGTAAAAGGTCACTGTGATTGGCCCTTTACCGTGTCATGTGATCAGTTGTGTCCAAAGGACACAGTGATCACAGAGGGCTCCGGGTGCGCGCCGTGGGGGGGCACTTTCTGGGAGGACGTCATATGACGCCTGTAGCAATTGTACATACAAATATGGATGTGAACGTCCATTTTGCTAAAGATTCTCTATCTTGTGTCATTCTCACTCCGGCAGGGAACAGATGTGGCATCGGATCAATGCTTTATCCACCTTGGAAAGTATGATTTAAAAAAAAAAAAAAAATTATCTTTTAAGTATCTGATACACTATATTGCCAAAAGTATTGGGACACCCTTCCAAATCATTGGATTCAGGCTTGGATGCAGCTGTTCGGCCACGGAAACCCATTCCATGAAGCTCTCTATGCACTGTTGTGCTAATCTGAAGGCCACACGAAGTTTGGAGGGCTTTAGCTATTGACTCTGCAGACAGTTGGCAACTTCTGTGCGCTTCAGCATGCCCTGACCCCCGCTCTGTCATTTTACGTGGCCTACCACTTGGTGGCTGAGTTGCTGTTATTCCCACTTTGTTATAATCCCACTAACAGTTGACCGTGGAATATTTAGTAGCAAGGAAATTTTACGGATAGACCTATTGCACAGCTGACAACCTATCACGGTACCACGCTTGAATTCACTGAGCTCCTGAGAGCGACCCATTATTTCAAAACCATAACAGGCTTACACTGCAATGTGGACCATCTGGATCTCTTCCTTGGGTTCGTTGTGCTTCCGTTCTAATAAATCCTGAGTAATCTTCTTATTATACCCCTTATTTTTTTTTTTTTCTGTCTCTCTCCTTCTTTGCCTGTTCTCATGTTCTGTTTCTTATTCTCTGCCTGTGCCTTGGTTAAAATAATCCAGAATAGGTGTAGAGCACAGACATGAACTGATACTTTGCTCTTATTTGGCAGAAAATAAACTTAAAAACCTAAGGTGGTATTGTGTATTTCTGCAGGGTTGCAAACAGTACTTGGGTTGTACCCATGATTTACTATATAATCGGGTGTTTGTAAGTCCAGACTACAGGTGTAAACCCTCAATACCACATTGGATGATATGTTTGTTCCTTTTATACTTTGATCCCAAAGAAGTCATTGGTGCATGGAATGTCTTTCTTTTGTGTAACTGCAGAATTAATACATTTTTATTCTATAAAAAGGAGCACAGCCAATCTTTTGAGAAGACTTTCATTCAGGCATAGCTGTAGTGTACCTAATCTCCTTTTGATGGTCGTTTGGTAACTCCTTTTTCTGCAGAAACGGTAATAAAACCTCCTGCGCTTGGGTGCAGTGCTAAGAATGTGTTCCGTCTGACTGGCTAGTAGGTCTTGCTGCTCTCTCAGGACTGTGTGCATCCTCACATAACTGAAATAGACCGCAAAAGAAAAGAACGTACCAACCTAGTGCATTACCAAAAAAAACTAATTATTTAACATGTATAAAAGATGTAATCTACTGACAAACACATGACATGCTTTGGCATATAATAAGATGCAGACGTGACCACCTCTAGGTCCACAGTACCCAGCCAGTGGTGTGGGAAGTCTCCGAAGCATCCTAAAGCTTGCGCTTTTTGAGTGACGGACCCTCTTCTTCAGAGCCAGAGGAGGTGGGAGCTGAAAAACAAGCTGCTCTGCTGTGCTGTCTTATTAGCTATCCAACAGTTCTTTGGGAATTCCCTGGTCATGTACTGTTTGTACTTATTTGTGTATGCCAAGGGAAAACAGTTTAAATTGTCCAAAAACCACTATAGTGTCCTTTTGGTTGTAACATAATGCTTCACATAGTCGAGAAATACTTGAAAGTCCTAGTTTACAAAAATTTTGGGCAATAGATTGAAAGTAGCAATATTGCCGCAACAGCAAACACTTTTCTGCTTTACTTTTTTTATTTGCAGACAGGAGCCGATAGCAAACCAAATTCGCCATTGTCATCAGGTGTTGCGTGCTGTTCAGAAGCTGGCCAAGGATTCTACCAACATAGCTCGTGAAACCTGGGAAGTTCTGCTACTCTTCCTGCTGCAGATAAATGACACATTGTTGGCTGCTCCAACAGTCACAGGTTAGTGATAGTAGACAGATCGTTCTGCTCTTCAGTGTCCAACAGTAAACCTTAACCCTGCAATATTAAAGTGGAATTTTAGCAAAACATTTTTTAAAAAGGCAGGAATTTTAATGCAGAAGTGACTTGCTTTTTCTGCATTAAAGTTACCTACCTACCTGCGCAGGCGCAGCTCACTGTACAAATTCGGCAGGGTCAAATCTGACTGAGGTCCCACACCCGTGCAGGAGTGATGTAATTTCTGCCTGGCCAATTAAAGCGGCTGGCGATTGAGACCTAGAAGTCAGCGGCCTGGCGGAGAGCTGTGGGACCCTGGATCCAAGGCGAGTATAGTTCTGCTTTAAGTTAAGAATGTTCTCTTGATGACATACAAGGCAGAAGGGGTTCTATAGACAATGCTAATTTACTGTACACCCAAGAGATTTGCATTCAAGTTGACACTGTAGGAGTCTGCTAAAACTTGCTGACAGATATTAAAGTACATGTAGAACCTCCTGTCTGACAGTCTAAACAAGCCCCAAATCCAGTTATTCATGATGCACACACCTTACCAAGTATACACAAAACTTTCTTTACTTTCCTCGATTGAGACAAATCCTTCATTTGTGTTTTGCATTCTCCCCCTTCTAGACACTGCAGCTCACAGAGGGAAGTGCTTTGCTGTCAGTCAAAAAAGCAGTAGGCAGGGCTATCTTGATTGACAAGCTTTAATTGTATGAATCAACAATGACAATGCAGGTAGGCAGAACCCCTGTATCATGCTTATCCCACTTTAGGTCAAGCTGGTACACCCTACTTGAGGGCGACAACACTGCTATATATTCTGAAGCAGTGCTGCAGCCTTGTCGACAGGCATTAGAGAAAACTGTACATTCATATGCAGTTACAATTAAGCCATAGTTCATCTTTGGGAGTATAAAAAATACAGTGAGCGCCCCAATGGTCAGCAGCTGAACATTCAAGGAAAACAAATAAAAGTCCCAAAAATATATATAAAGAAAATGCAGCGCTGTGTGATGTTACTATATTGCGGGCAGATATAAATAATGAACCCAAAGGAAATGAATAAATTAATAAATAAATCAATCAAATAAATCACAGTCCAGTAATGGTGCTCGCTGATTCCCAATGCAAAAGTTAGAAATGCGCACTAACCAGAAACGTATTAATAATACGCATGTGCATATGATATCATGGAGATTCCCCTCTCTTTACTGGTCTGGTAATGGGCAGGAGCTGGAGATAGTAGAGATGAAGCGCCTTCGTGTGGCGAAATGGAGGTCCAGCAGGTCACAGAGATCCTTACAGAAGTGTGTGAAGTGGAAAATTCCTCCTCTCAAAGGCTGGTGCAGGGATCAATCTGGGTCTGCAGAAGCTGAAAAGGCTCATCGCAGAAGACACAGGAAAGAACCCATAGTGTAGTAGGTTGATGAAAATGATTTTATTCAAGAAAAACAGGAGTGTTCAGAAAAAACTCACAATGGTGCCAAGTTTAATCAAATAACTGACCCTTTAAGATTAAATATGGCCGCCGGGCCTCCACGTGGCACCGGCGACGTAGTGTCAATGGCGTCCTGGGCTCCACCTGCCCGCAATATAGTAACATCACACAGCGCTGCATTTTCTTTATATACATAGTTCATTTTTAACTATATTAAATAAAACCCAAAGTCCATAAACTTAAGTGTCAAAAATCCTTTCGGAGAAAGTTTTGGTTATAATTTTCTGGTTGCCTTTTGTATAGGTAATTTTTCTAGTCAAGTCACCAAAGTGGATTTTACTAACACCTGGTAATCATACTTTGTTAGCAGGTGAGCTGACTCCAATATTTGATACTGTACTGTATATTGACAGTAAGCTCATATGACTGTGTGTATCAGATTGTGGTTGCAGAAAAGGATGATAAAATTTTGTTAGCTAAGCTTAAAAAATTAACCCGATACGTTTTAGGGGCTTTAGTCACCATAAGGACATAACATGCTTGCCATTTATATCATACATAGCAAGTAACTTGTTTTTATTTTCTATTCTCTTAGGAGGCATAGCAGAGAATTTGGCTGACAAATTAATTGGGGTTCTTTTTGAAGTCTGGTTCCTGGCATGTACACGCTGCTTCCCAACACCACCCTACTGGAAGACTGCCAAAGAAATGGTGGCTAATTGGAGACACCACCCTGCTGTGGTTGAGCAGTGGAGTAAAGCAATTTGTGCACTAACATCTAGGTAAAAGTCTGCTTTCAGCAGTGTCATATGCATTTGAAAGAATATTAAAAACGTTCAACTAGTAAAAACAACATGACTGTGTTCTGTAAAACTGTTAAAGTGGAACTTCATCCAAAAAGTTTTTGTTTTTCTTATGGATTAGTTCCTCTGTTGGGGTTTTATTGCTTGATTGTAGGAAGGTGAGCACCACACTTGTTTAACAAACCAAAAAAGGTTTGTTGGTCCCAAACTTTATTCAAAACAGACAATGGGGTTGGTTTACTAAAGGTAAATATACTGTGCTCTTCAAGTGCTGTTGCTCTAGATCTGAGGGGAAGCTCTGCTGATTTCTATCATCCAAAAAAGCAACTACACTTGCAGTGCACAATATATTTGCCTTTTGGAAATCAACCCCATTGTGTTTTTTGAGGTTCTATTAGGACCTCTTATCAGAGCTATGATTGAACAGATAGGACCTAAATTAGGATTGTAAATATGAGCTCTGCTTAGCAGTTAAAGTAGGTATAAATTCTCGACCATGTAAAATCATAATAGTAGTAGCATAAAAAAAAAATCTAAATACACACTGGGGTAGATTTACTACAACTGGTGCACCCAGAATCTATTGCAGCTGTGCATGGTAGCCAATCAGCTTCTAACTTGTTCCGTTAAATTTTGGCAATACAACCTGGAAGCTGATTGGTTTCTAGGCAGAGATTAGCCTGATTTTGCACTCTCCAGCTTTAATAAATAAACCCCATTGTGTATTAGGTAATGTGTTTATACTATTATAGTTCTTCCCCCTACAGTCTCCTTATATAGTGCCCCAAGGACCCATGTATGGCCCTTGTACTCTAGAGAGCTGTGATCCAATCTAAAACAGTGTTCCAGCCCTCCACCTCTCCATCCTTTTGGGTTTTTATTGAAGTCTGTGACCTATTTTCTTAGACATTTCCCTTTCTTCCTTTACTTGTGACCACGATAACATAATTGTTAAACATTCTGTTTCCCTCTGGAAAGAGCTCATTAAGAGTTGGTGGCAAGATTATCTGGAGCAGTCAGTCCAGAAAAGGGAGGAAATGTAAAGTTGTGGTTATAACCGTACCAGGACAGACAGTATAGGGAAAGTTCCCAAGCAGGAACCCCACAGTAAAAACTCCGCAACAAAATCGAACCCTTCTGCATTCTACCCAGATATATTGGCTTCGGAAACGGCTTTGTTGGTCAGGAACCTAAAATCCCTCTGAAAAGTACTAGACTTCATTTACGGAAGTGTATACAGGAAGAGCTGTCTGTACATCTTTTGTTGCTCAGCAGCAAGCCGGCTTTACTGTTTCATAATACAGTATGAGGATCAAAGTGCCTGAGTGGTTTGGTTTGCTTTAGGGTACTAGAACCGTTGTGACTGTTAACTCATACGCTCTGATCAATGAGGTCTGATGTGCAGGATTTGCTTTTTAAAGCAGAAGTTTTGCGGATATTTCATCATAACCCCAGAACTAACTTATCCCAGGAAGGGAAGGGAGAGACAGTGGTTTAGGAACACTGCTCCTTTTACAAGAAGCAAAAAGAGGAAAGCAGCCGACAATTATTTTGTTGATTGATGCACAAAAAGCTTTTGATAGGGTAGATTGGGGATTTATGATAAATATACTAGAGGTTTAGGAATAGGGGCCAAAATGGTAAGGTGGATAAAAGAGCTTTATACTGGCCCTTCAGCTGCAGTTAAGGTTAATGGGTCCCTATCAGGGACCTTTTAAAATTTATAATGGCACTAGACAGGGATACTCATTTATCCCCGTTGCTATTTGTCTTATCCTTGGAACCATTTTTGGTGTTGGTAAGAGAGAGTTCAGATATTTCAGGAATTAAGATAGAAGTAGAACATAAGGTAGCAGTGTATGCAGATGATTTGCTGTTTTACATTGTGAACCCTAGACTGACGTTGCTTAATTTAATGGGATTACTGAAGCGCTATGGAGAGCTGTCTAACCTGAAAAAAACCCTCAAAATCTGAGATCTTAAATATTAACTCTTCAAAGGTTGAGATGCAGACTCTGCAAGAAGATTTTCCATTTACTTGGAGGGAGAAGGAACTAGGCTATCTGGGGATAAAGCTAACCCCCTCAATAAAGAACTTATATCAAGCCAACTATATTCCTTTAATGAATGAAATGAAAGATGAGTTGAGAAGTTGGGTCTCGTGGATTGGGCATATAAACCTGGTTAAGATGGTGAAAGTCCCAAAAATCCTGTATAAATTCCAAATGCTCCCAATATTTCTACCAGGATCTTATTTTAGGATAATAAAATTGATACTGAGGTTTATATGGGCTAATAAGAAACCAAGAATTAAGTATGAAGTTTTATGAAACAACAAAGAAAGGAGGACTAAGTCTGCCAAATATGAGGAAATATGTCGGTGATATTATCACAGGTGGTAGACTGGACACACAACTCACAAGAAACAAATTGGGTTAAAATGGAAGGTATATTATGTAATACACAACTAGAGAGGATTATTTGGATTTCACAAAAGGTCCAGGTTATAGATGAAAATAGTAGTATACTTACACAGGAGGTGTTGAAAATATGGGATGGGTTGCACAAGTCAATTGGATCGAAGTACAATTCACTGTTGATGCCCCTGGTGGGTACAGAGTTTTTTTCCCACCAGGGAAAGATATTTCTGGGAAATGGTTTAAAGATAGTAGTGCACGGGCCATAGTAGATAAGGGGAAGTTGTGCACTTTTCAAGAGTTAAAGGGCAAAAAAGATTTATTTTTTACAGTGGATGAATTGAGATATTGTCAGTTGGGACATTTTGTCTCAACACTCCCCCAACCACTGAGGATTCCGGAGGACATGTTTCCATTTGAAAAAATTTTGAGTGCCAAGATAGTAGTAAAGTAACCTTTAGGATATATAAGATCCTTATTGAGCAGATGGGATCTGACCTCCGGCATTCTTAGAGAAATGGGAAAGAGAATTGGGTACAAAAATGAACGGGTAACAGAAGAATAAAATGTTTAAGTTAATGCAAGGGGTGATGAATAGGAATACAGTCGAAATGAATTATAAATGTTTAACCAGATAGTATTTCACGCCGAGTGTGGCACATAGACCACAAGCAGAAATGTCACCAAGATGTTGGAGGGGATGTGGGGCGAGGGGGACAATGGCACATATATGGTGTGATTGCCCAAAAATACAGGTGTTCTGGCAAAATTATAATTCAATATATACAGGTGATTTTGGGGATAACTGTTCAGAAAGGTCCATGGGTATGTCTATTTTATAGGTCAGAGATGTCAGGTAAACCATATAAAAGTATATTATATCATCTAATTAGCGCGGCAAAAGGTCTAATCCCTACATTTTGGCAAGTACAGGACCCTCCAACAATGAGAGATTGGATGGACAGGATTGAGTATATAAATAGGATGGAGGAGCTATATCATCTAGAGGAAGATAAAATGGATAAATTTAGAAAGGCTTTGAGTAGGTGGTATGATTTTAAGACATCGGGAAAATATCTTGACGTGATGGGGGCCCCGGTAGCAGAGTTGGAGAATAAAACTGGATAGTGGAAAAGTAATTTAAAGTGGACGGGGTAATTTAATGGGGGGGGGGGGGGGGTGGAGAAGTGATTTGGAATGTATGTATTTTTGATAAATGATATAGTTGATTCATGTGTAGAAATAAAATGTAATAAAAGATATAATAAAGTAAAAACCCCAGAACTAACACATTTAATGTACCCCTTCATTCTCATCATTTTTATAATACTTTTGTAGGCCTTACCCTTTTTAGATTTTATCCAGCAACATACTTTGTATTTATAACCTTTCTGTTATATACTTGAGCAGCTTTATTGGTCATACAGCCTTGAAGAAGGGAACCTGGTATTGTATTTTTGTGAGCATTTCTTCTGGACTTCAGTTATTGTCCTCTCTACATAGAGCAGTGATCTTGCCTACACCTATCAGTTATATTTGCCATTGCTGGATGAGATTCTACTGCAGATTTCTTCCCCGTTTTTAGACCGGGACAGGATCACTTTATTTTGGGCTTCTTTGCTTTATTTTTCCAGGTTGCTGCGATTCACATATGGGCCTTCATTTCCTCCTTTTAAAGTTCCTGAGGAAGATGCAAGTTTGATTCCTTCTGAAATGGATAATGAATGTGTAACACAAACCTGGTTTCGGTTTCTTCACATGCTCAGGTAAGTACTAAAGGGTAAGGAATCTTTTACTGACATTCAAAAAGAATTCAAGGAACAGAACGCCTTCTTTTTCTATTATCTACAAATTAGATATGGCATTGCAACACAGATGGGTCCACAAAATACTACCATCCATCCATAAGCTAGAGACACCTCCTATTGCTGACCATAGGAAATGGATCTCTACCTATTGCTCCACTCTATTGCATGCCAAAACCAAGCGACTAATTACTATTAGATAACTTGCCTTCTGTCCAGGAAGGGATGTGGAAATAAATATTGGGCCGGCACATTCTTGCTGGTAAATCCTCTAAAGGTGAATTAATTTAAACACCTGTACTATGTATATTACACTCCCATATAGATTGGATAAGTTTGGCAAAATGAGATACACCTGTTTTAAATGCCAAACACTCCATATGATTTGGGATTCCCTAAGGGGAGAATCTTTTGGACTGAAGTTACTCATTTCTTAGCTGATTGTTGTCTTTTGAGTCATTTTGATGACTTTGATATGCATAACTCAAAAAAATTGCTTCTCTGCCACTTTTTTTTTTTTTTCTCCTTTTTTATGACAAGAAATATAGCCTTAAAGTGGCTGTAAAGGCATAGGGGTTTTTTTTTTATTCATTCTCTGCATTAAGGTAAAAAAAACCTTCCCCCCAAATACTTATCCTAGTCCTGTTTGAATCTACCACGGTGCTCTAGAGCCACAGCCTCCTCACAAGACTTGGGGGCAGCCATTGGCTCCTGCTGCTGTTAAT